CATTTAGCAATATATTTTAAGTATGTCTGACAAAATCAATCTATCATTTGAATATATCAAATAAACAAATATATCAAATATCAGATATTGAAACATTATTTTAATTAATTTGATTAATATGTATAGTATGAAATGACATGCAAAGGTTTTACTTTTACCTTTGTTAATCTTTTTTTTGACAGGACGTTTTAAATATTTCTGTTTCCTCTTCTTTTTTCAGTTTCGTTATTTCTGCCAAGTCTTAGATTACTTCCTTCCTTGATTTTGCTGGAAAGGAGTCCCATTATTGAACTAAATGTACCCCCACCCCATACCACACAAAGACACACACATTTTACTGCCTACAGTATAACCTTAATAGGATGGTCTTTAGGTCAAACCCCCTACAGCTTGTTCAATGGAAAGTAATGAGGATTGTTTTTCAGTGTCTTAATGTAAAACGTTATAACAAGCAAGATTTAAAAAAAAATAATGTTGCTATGGCTACTTAACCACAACATTGCAATTACCTTTATACAACATGACTCTGAGGGCTTGCAAAAAACCAATGTAACGCAATAAATATATAAGTACCAACAAGAATGCTGTTAAAACAAAAGAGTAGAATGATGGCAGTGATAAAACAATAATGGTCTCTTATAAAGGATCAAAGTTGAAGATACTTAATTAAATAATTGGTAGAGCTCTGTGCTAGCTTCACTCACACTGCTTTCCTATTATGGTAATCTCATTTTTTAAAAATCGATATAAAAAAAGTTATTGGCAATCTATCAGCTTTTGCATCTGTTGCGTCAATCACCTCACTAACAGAGGTAACCAACATCAACATAGACATTTCAACTTCAAAGTCCCTTTTGTCATACATATGTCTAAACCAAATCATACACCAAAACTCCTTGCATCCTCCCACCTTCCCTTTGAGGGGGCAAAAGAAAAAATGTGGACGGATTGAATAATTGCCTTACTTCAAAGTGCCAGTTATTGCCAGAGTGCGTACTGTTGCCTGCAGTGCTATAGGGTATTTTCTTTTATAATGTGGGCTGGGTGAGTTGGAAAATGGCTGCCTCCTCCTCAGTGTAAATCCCACTCTAATGCCGGAGTCTGTCTCTACACTGACCCCGTCTGACCTGGGCTAAATAAAAACGACAATGTTTCCTTCCCTCGAAAAAACCCACTGGGCTCCCCAGACGTTCTAACCCTCGTCCCCTCATAGAATCCATCTGAGAAACATCATCATTGTAACTACACAACAACCACTGGGGTTTTAGAGGTGGCAGAATTAAATACATTTTTATTAGACAAAAATATGAGTGACACTTTACTTTTGCTTTAGCATTGGGTAACAGCCTGCAAGTATATAACAGCCTGCAGGTACAATGCTTTATAACTTGTTATTACCATGTATTAGCCTTTATAATGTCATTTAATAAGGTTTGTTCATGAGAAGTCCTATAATGCATCTGATTTACACTATACATACAAAGGTATGCGGACAACCCTTCAAATTAGTGGATTCGGCTATTTCAGGCACACCCGTTGCTGACAGGTGTATAAAATCGAGCACACGCCATGCAATCTCCATAGACAAACATTGGCAGTAGAATGGCCTTACTGAAGAGCTCAGTGACTTTCAACGTGGCACCGTCATAGGATGCCACCTTTCCAACAAGTCAGTTTGTCAGATTTCTGCCCTGCTAGAGCTGCCCCGCTCAACTGTAAGTGCTGTTATTGTGAAGTGGAAACGTCTAGGAGCAACAACAAGAAGTGGTAGGCCACACAAGCTCACAGAATGGGACTGCAGAGTGCTGAAGCGTGTAAAAATCATTTGTCCTCGGTTGCAACACTCACTACCGAGTTCCAAACTGCCTCTGGAATGTCAGCACAAGAACTGTTCGTCGGGAGCTTCATGAAATGGGTTTCCATGGCCGAGCAGCCTAACATCCCCATGCGCAATGCCAAGCGTCGGCTGGAGTGGTGTAAAGCTCGCCGCCATTGGACTCTGAAGCAGTGGAAACGCGTTCTCTGGAGTGATGAATCACGCTTCACCATCGGTCTAATCTGGGTTTGGCGGATGCCAGGAAAACGCTACATGCCCGAATGCATAGTGCCAACTGTAAAGTTTGGTGGAGGAGGAATAATGGTCTGGGGCTGTTTGTCATGGTTCGGGCTAGGCCCCTTAGCTTCCAACTTTGTGGCAACAATTTGGGGAAGGCTCTTTCCTGTTTCAGCATGACAATGCCCCCGTGCACAAAGCGAGGTCCATACAGAAATGGTTTGTCGAGATCGGTGAGGAAGAACTTAACTGGCCTGCACAGAACCCTAACCTCAACGAACACCTTTGGGATGAATTGGAACGCTGACTGCGAGCCAGGCCTAATCGGCCAACATCAGTGCCCGACCTCACTACTGCTCGTGGCTGAATTGAAGCAAGTCCCCGCAGCAATGTTCCATCTAGTGGAAAGCTTTCCCAGAAGAGTGGAGGCTGTTATAGCAGCAAAGGGGGGACCGATTCCATAGTAATGCCCATGATTTTGGAATGAGATGTTCGACAAACAGGTGTCCACATACTTACTTACATACATACATACTTATGGTCATGTAGTGTAGTGTATGTAGTGGCGCAGTGGTCTAAGGCACTGCATCGCAGTGCTAGCTGTGCCACTAGAGATCCTGGTTAGAGTCCAGGCTCTGTCGCAGCCGGCCGCGACCGGGAGACCCATGGGCGGCGCACGATTGGTCCAGCGTCATCCAAGGTAGGGGAGGGTTTGGCCAGCAGGGATGTGGGTTCGTTTCCCACGGGGGGCCAGTATGAAAACAAAAAGAAACATGTATGCATTCACTAACTGTAAGTCGCTCTGGATAAGAGCGTCTGCTAAATGACTAAAATGTAAATGTATGTTGTGTCGAAACATAAAGTGATAGATAGGGCTCTATTCTACACCCACTTCCTCCTCCACAATGTAGTTAAGCTAATCCTTTCCATCAAAGCATTGTCTACTACTAAAACAAATTCAAAAGAACTATAAAATCTAATTATTCTATAGCCACTATGCCCTAGGCCTAGTACACACTCCGGTTGTACAAACAATGTACAACACAAGGTTATAACTGTTGTGTATGACTTTGTACGAGATGTACTACACTACCAATTGAATACACACAGCTGTCATAAAATTATATTTTATTAATATGGCTCTCACACAGACATACCTGTTCAACAGACATACATTCCTACATACACACAAGTGGATATACACAACGTCATGTTTCATTATATTACAATATGATAGATGTGGTAGCACACAGAGAAACAACAGGCGTAAAGGAAGAACACAAATTAATCTCCATAGGCAGCAGTATGATGATCAATAATGTTTTGGATCTGGCAAACAACATCAACAAAAGGTTATGATTAATGAAGCATTAATGTAATTGGTCCTTGTTGTGTCTGAAATGGCACCCTATTCCCTATACAGTGCACTAAGGCCCCTGGTCAAAAGTAGTGCACTATATAGGGAGTAGGGTGCCATTTCGGAAGCAGTCCTCATGTTTGTGAGCTAAATCGCTGGCACGGCAAAAATACAAACACCACAAACTAACTCCCTCGTCTGAACATTCTCAATTCAAATAAGACGAGCACTAAAAAGAGACAGTTGGGTTTCACTGGCAACTGTTGTAAAAGCAGTTGTTCTAACATTCTGGGATGGTATCCTTCATTTCATCCTTTTAAAAACAATTTGAGGGGATGCTGTGAAATAGTGTCTAACACTGACAGGTATAATGCTATACGACATTATACAAGTCTTACGACAACATTTTCAAAGCATTATAACTGTATCATAATACATAGTGTTACCAAATAGTGTTGAGACATGATACTCTAAATGTAGTCGCTTCATCCCATACACTGGCTCCAGGTGACAGTAGGGTCCTATGGACTCAAAGGACACAGATGGATAACACAGATCAGAACACGGTCATCCTAAAAACAGACTACTTGGATTTCCCAAACAAGCCTGTGACACGTGTATTATGTATGTGTTATATGATGTGTGCAGATAGAAAACAGAGCAAAGTTGAACCATTTTCCTAAATGAGTGGGATGTTTTACCAACAGCCGCCACATTTGATCGACTGACTCCCCCTTGTGGCAAGAGAATAGAAATGAATTCTATCGTAACTACATCAATTATATGAGAAAATTTGTTTATCTTGTTAAGAATTTGTTCCTAGGTATATAAGCATTCCACGGCGGGTCTAGTGTCTGCGGGTTTTGGGGTTTTCCTTTCAATTAAAACAGAGGCAACCAGGTGAGGGGAGTTCTTTACTAATTAGTGACCTTACTTCATCGATCAAGTACAAGGAAGGAGCGAAATCCCGCAGACACTTGGCCCTCCGTGGAATGAGTTTGACACGTGGTGTACATAATTGTCAAGGATTACCTACAAAGTCATCAAAAAGAAGATTCAAATCTCATAAAAAGGGAGATATTGACTCTAAAAACAACTTTTGAGGACATACAAGAGGAACACAGAGTGTCACATACATACGTATAGGAACTGTGTAAAATCCATAAAAGGCATAAGCATACCCTGTTTACAGATACAGAAAGAGAGAGGGGGGTGACCTAAACGCGAAGGTGCGGGCATGGACGGAGGTCCGGGTACTAATTCTCTAATTAACACAGACAACACACAGGTTGCGTTCTGATTCACTACCCTTCTCCCCGAAGTGTGTACTCGTGCACTCCCCCTCATGGATTCATAAGCAAACAATTGGTGTAAGAGATCTGGTGGATTTGCAGCTACCCCACACCTTTCAGATCAACCCTCATTCCATTGCTCAATTTAAATTGTATTAGTCCTCTTTTCATGACTACTTGGCTTCACCAACCCCTCAAATCTTCACTCCCTCTCTTCTCCCCTAGTTAGCACCCTCAGGTTAGGAACCCTGTTTGTTAGTCTTCCATAGACCTCCACAGGGGGGTTCAAGGGCCCTTATCAAAAGTCACTGAGGATGCTGATGTCGGCAAACTCCTTGCGGTAGCGGTGGGAGTAGAGGGCCAGCAGGAAGGACCACTTCAGGGTCATGAAGCTCCACACACCCGAAAGAAACAGGCTCCTCGGGTCAGTCATGGCTGGGAACCACAGAGATATGACAGACATTAGAGACTTGCAGACTCCGAGCAAAAGCCATGGTTGGCACACTGTTACACAATTCATTGAGTCAGGTGCTTCTCAATGAAGGTTCCTGTAGGAAAAGTGACCAAAGCTTCAGGCTCGTAGCATAACCCAAAAGGCAATGATCCCATGGAGTCATGTGGACGTGCCCTAAGGGATTCAAATATGCAATACTAATGACTAAATACATCCTAATGCACCAACAAGAAAAAGTACAATGGATGAGAAGGGGAGCAAATGGGGGAGAGACGTAGCCATTTGCAAATGAACAGCAGAGCAAGTGAAGGGGAGAGGAGAAGCAAATTAGGATGAAAGGAGGAGTGAATGAATGAGTGAGAGAAGGGAGGTGTGTGAGACTCACACTCCTTGTTGGTAATGGCGAGGGAGAGGAAGGTGATGAAAGCCACCACGGCCAGCAGGGAGAAGAAGACTCCGATGAAGAGAAAGAATTTGAGGCCCTTCAGCCAGGTGCGCCAGTAGTCCTGCAGGTACATGATGTGGGTGATGAGGGCCCAGAGCGCTAGCACACCTGAGGGGGAAAGACGCACGTTCACAGTCAGGGGCTGGCCGTTCACAATCCCTACACTAAGTCAATTACTGACATGAGACAAGCATGTGTAACTATCGCAAGTATTTGCATAGTATCAAATTGAACTGTATTTGAAAAAGCATTGTAAGATTAGGGGTTTTCTCAAGTCAAGAGATGCCTTTGCTTGTCTAACTACAATCTTGAGCTGTCCGTAGACAATATTGAGTCTGAGGTCTTGTTGGTGTAGCCTATGTCAGTGTGTGGCTCAGTTGGTAGAGCATGGCTCTTGCAACACCAGGGTTGTGGCTTTGATTCCCACGGGGGACCAGTACGAAAAAAGTATGAAAATGTATGAACTCACTACTGTAAGTCGCTCTGGATAAGAGCGTCTGCTAAATGACTAAAATGTCATGTACATTTTACGGGTGAACATATCCTGACAAAGCGTATCATGTTTTGCTATGTCATTGTGTCTCAAATCACACTGTTCTGTCACTCACTCCTCCATGTTCCTCTTTTACTGTTTCATAACCACATTTGGGTTTGACAGCGTATAGCACTAACATTAATCCACTTTCACCGCATCTTACACAATATTAGGCTAAAATGGTCTTCACTAGTTGGCCATGCTAGATAGGACAAAATGGCAATGTTAAGGGCCGTATGGACAAAGAGTCTCAGAGTAGGAGCACTGCTGATAGGCCTATAGGATCAGTTTAGCCTTTTTAATCAATATGAATGAAATTATATGGACAGGGGGGACCTGATCCTAAATCATCACCTACTCTGACACTCATTTTGAATTCGGGCCCAAAACTAATGAGCAAGTAGCCTACATAAACTTTTTTCAGGGTTGGTTGTTAAAACAGTGTTTGAGGTTGGAAAGTACCATACTTGCTTCATTTCAAGCATGGTCAGATAGTGAGTAGGGCTGAGTCACGGTTCCCCACCCTTCTACTGAAGTGTGCATTTGCACAAATCCGGTTGTGGATCTAACAATGGTTGAAATTCCCTCTAGCCAATGCTTAGGGCTATATCAATCCAATGCTTTTAAATCCATGACAGGGAGGTTTTTGGGGGAAGTGTAGAGAATCAGGATGCAGCCAAGCTAGGAAGTTCAATTGACCGTCCTGAGTCCTGGCTAGAGAGAATAGGCTAGGCTTATTCTGCTGTGTCAATCTGCCATGCTGACCCCACTCCTTTCCCCATCTAATGGTCTAGAATCATATGACCAAGCACATGCCACGGAAAACCCTAGCAAGAATTGCACCCTTATTGATTCTCTCTCTATTGGCACAGGCACCACATGATGTTATCACAACTCCACAAGAAAAATGTAGGCCTACAACAGAGATGAGAGGAATGTCACACAGATATCAGCTTGCTGACCTGAGAGGTCAAAGTTCACAGCCATAAATGCACCACTTGTTACCTAGTGCAGTGGTTCTCAAACGGTGGGGGGCGCGAGGGGTTGGCAGGGGGGTCCTTCCTTATTTTCTTTTAAGGAACTAATTCCAGCTTTCAATTTACTCTTGAAAGTTGTAATAGTAGAAAGCACAAGGTGCAATTTCGAAATTGGGTAGTGCATCATTAGTTTCCTCTTGTCATATCAGTCATTGTATACCTTAGAGAGCTATTTATAACTTGTCAGAAATGTCCAAATCAACTAGCCCATGTCAGCAAAACATTTTTAGATAGGCTTTTTAGCTCTTGATTTTGTTGTAATGTTTGAGTCATTCAAATATCACATGCATACACATTAGGCATGGCAAAATGTATAGAATTGCAAGAAAATTAGCTTTCAAAACTGCACATTTTTCTCAGCACCCCATGATAAAATGTGTAGAATTGCAGGAAATAAACTTTAAACCTGCAAAAATTCTCTCCACCAACAAGATCGGTGTGAACAGTTTGTGTCATGAAAAGTGCTTGTGCCCATAGAAATAGACATGTATTACTTTATGGTTGGTTCAGGCTTCTACTCTAGGTCAGCAAATTGTAATGGTGATGCTGAGAACTTCAAATGGGATGAGTAACAGGACACGTGCTAAATTAATCGGAGGAGATTTATCAAAAGTCTTCAGTCCCAAACAGTGTAAGCAGAAATAACACACAGTTTGCGTTGACACCTGACTGTTTTTTGGCCAGTGTGGTTTAAGCATCCGGAAGATCCAGAATTCCAGGTTAACCAGGCAGAAAATATAAAATGCATGAAGCTGAAAATATTTGGGAAACACTTAAGTAGACAGTGCTGGATATACATCTATTTATTTTTTACTGGGTAATAAAGTTATCCTAGATATTCATGAGCGTCTGCTAAATGACTAACATGTACATGTATAAGACCTATGTAATGCAATGCTACTACTTTTTTTTGTTGCCAAAGTTGCATAGAGATCATGTAGGAGCTAGCTTGGTGTATAGATATGTAGCTATTCTCTGCTCAAGTGAAGTTGAACAGTCCAACTTTCTAGAATACCTGGGGTAAAACGTTTAGGACTTTAGCTATAACATTTAGAAATTTGAAAAGGCTAAATAAAGTGTGGGCTTCTGACTATTTGTCAATCTAAACTCGTGCACTGTAAGAGATGGGGTAGCCTACTGTGGCAATATTCAGCTCAGATGTAGTCAGATGGACAGGTAAATCCTGAAAATATTGCATTATATACTGTTACATATTGTCCGCAACCTCACCCACAAAATAAGTAATTGTTTACATTCTGGCTAATACTTGTTTTTACCTGATAATCCTCCCATTGCAGCTGTCCATGGTTGGTTGTACGCGATGTTCCACACGAGAAACGCTGAGAATCCCATAAGCATGCCAAAAGAGGCATACCCGATACTGATGTACGTCTTATTGAACCCCATTGGGGACAGGTGACACGCTACAAGTAGAATGAAAAAAGAATAACGTCAACGTTTAAAAACAAGTGCCCTGTTTTGAGAAACTCGCCTCTGGACAACTCGAGCTCGCTAAACAGCTAGCTGCGCATGATTACCGTTCTCCTAGCAGCAAGATAGTATGCTGCCTACACGATCGCAGATTTTCTCAAAATAAAAGTCCCCCTGCAAGACATGCTAAACTTAGGGAATTTCTTATTTTATTTTTGCACTCTAGTGCAGTCAATGGTGTGTATTCATGGATGCCAAGGGAACCCAGGCTTCCCCAAATATTTGACCAATAAAAAAATTACAATTATGAAATAATCTTTCGTCTCTCTGTGTTTTCATAATTTTGCATCAATTCGCAAGTGGCTGAATCTCACCGGAGAAATCATCTGAATGAGGGAAACAGCGCCCCTCTGTCTCAGTATGTGTAGCCCATGTATCTGATACTGTCTGGAACAAAAGAGTATGACATGTTGCCGCTGTAGCATTTGATTGATTGATGCCAGCAAGCATTTGGCCTCCCTTGATAAAACAATTATAAAATAATTAGCCAATCAGCGTTGAACTGAGCTCAACAGTGGGTTGTCCTGCCGCAGCAAAATGCCCCCCAAGGGAGGCCAGTTTGGATTTGGCTTCACACCAATTAAATGACATCCTGAGAAAAACGTCATAATTGTCAGAAAAACGTGCCTGTTTCTGGTCTGCTTGTGTTGATGTCTTGCAGTAGCTAGCTTGTTAAATCGGCCTTTTCCTAAACCATGGATGGAGATGGAGATTTGGACATGTGGTTTTGACAAAATTCTCTGTACAGGCCAATGATTACGATGGCGATTCTGATCTAACCATAAATTAATATATTGTGCCCCTGGCCTGAGACGATTGAAGTTCAATATGTATCCTAGATGTAGCCTAGTAAGCTCACGTTAACTAGCTAGCTAACTTAGCTGGTTCATTGATGCCTATGCAAGGAAGTTAGGCTAGCAAGCATTTTAGCTAGGTAGCCTATGAAAACTAAAACTAAAAGCACACACACACAGAGATCAGTATCATGGACAGCCACATAATATTTAGCAACATTGATTGGACTAAATTGTTTTTGGTATCTTTAAGTTTGTTTTCAGTGTATTAAACTAGCTAAGCATATATAGCCTTGTTGATTTGATGATGTTTAAATGTTTAAGTTGAAATGGTGCTGGAACAGCGGAGGCAGTGCTCCCGTTGTCTTTGTGCTGACTTGCGGTAACTCCGTGGTTCTAAATCAGTAGTTATTTATTAAACTGTCAAAAACGTTAACTTGCTTGACCATGCCTCATATAACTGTTTGTTACAGGCAATATTTGCTTTGTGGACTTCACAGGACAGATGTTGCTCTCTGGTTTTGTGATGAAACAAATGTATGTGTAGTTAAATTTTTTCCACCACTGTGTGACTGTTGTCCATTTGTTGTCACTGCCTTATTGTATATCACGGTGGCGTATGAATTAATGGGTTATAGAGCAAACAACTCAAATATATGCATCATCAGTTCCTCTTGTCATGTTAGTCATTGCATGCCTTAGAGAGCTACAGTGGGGGGAAAAAGTATTTAGTCAGCCACCAATTGTGCAAGTTCTCCCACTTAAAAAGATGAGAGAGGCCTGTAATTTTCATCATAGGTACACGTCAACTATGACAGACAAAATGAGAGAAAAAAATCTAGAAAATCACATTGTAGGATTTTTAATGAATTTATTTGCAAATTATAGTGGAAAATAAGTATTTGGTCAATAACAAAAGTTTCTCAATACTTTGTTATATACCCTTTGTTGGCAATGACACAGGTCAAACGTTTTCTGTAAGTCTTCACAAGGTTTTCACACACTGTTGCTGGTATTTTGGCCCATTCCTCCATGCAGATCTCCTCTAGAGCAGTGATGTTTTGGGGCTGTCGCTGGGCAACACGGACTTTCAACTCCCTCCAAAGATTTTCTATGGGGTTGAGATCTGGAGACTGACTAGGCCACTCCAGGACCTTGAAATGCTTCTTACGAAGCCACTCCTTCGTTGCCCGGGCGGTGTGTTTGGGATCATTGTCATGCTGAAAGACCCAGCCACGTTTCATCTTCAATGCCCTTGCTGATGGAAGGAGGTTTTCACTCAAAATCTCACGATACATGGCCCCATTCATTCTTTCCTTTACACGGATCAGTCGTCCTGGACCCTTTGCAGAAAAACAGCCCCAAAGCATGATGTTTCCACCCCCATGCTTCACAGTAGGTATGGTGTTCTTTGGATGCAACTCAGCATTCTTTGTCCTCCAAACACGACGAGTTGAGTTTTTACCAAAAAGTTATATTTTGGTTTCATCTGACCATATGACATTCTCCCAATCCTCTTCTGGATCATCCAAATGCACTCTAGCAAACTTCAGACGGGCCTGGACATGTACTGGCTTAAGCAGGGGGACACGTCTGGCACTGCAGGATTTGAGTCCCTGGCGGCGTAGTGTGTTACTGATGGTAGGCTTTGTTACTTTGGTCCCAGCTCTCTGCAGGTCATTCACTAGGTCCCCCCGTGTGGTTCTGAGATTTTTGCTCACCGTTCTTGTGATCATTTTGACCCCACGGGGTGAGATCTTGCGTGGAGCCCCAGATCGAGGGAGATTATCAGTGGTCTTGTATGTCTTCCATTACCTAATAATTGCTCCCACAGTTGATTTCTTCAAACCAAGCTGCTTACCTATTGCAGATTCAGTCTTCCCAGCCTGGTGCAGGTCTACAATTTTGTTTCTGGTGTCCTTTGACAGCTCTTTGGTCTTGGCCATAGTGGAGTTTGGAGTGTGACTGTTTGAGGTTGTGGACAGGTGTCTTTTATACTGATAACAAGTTCAAACAGGTGCCATTAATACAGGTAACGAGTGGAGGACAGAGGAGCCTCTTAAAATAAGAAGTTACAGGTCTGTGAGAGCCAGAAATCTTGCTTGTTTGTAGGTGACCAAATACTTATTTTCCACCATAATTTGCAAATAAATTCATTAAAAATCCTACAATGTGATTTTCTGGAAAGAAAATTCTCAATTTGTCTGTCATAGTTGACGTGTACCTATGATGAAAATTACAGGCCTCTCTCATTTTTTTAAGTGGGAGAACTTGCACAATTGGTGGCTGACTAAATACTTTTTTCCCCCACTGTATTTAGAACCTATCAGAAATGTCCAGATCAACTAGCCCATGTCAGCTAAAGTTTATTAATTTAAGCTATGTGTCCTCAAATATCACATGAATACACATTAGACATGGCAAACTATATAGAAATGCAAGAAAATGAGCTTTAAAACGGCTACATTTTCATGGCACCCATAACAAAATGTGTAGAATTGCAGGAAATAAGCTTTAAACATGCAAAATTCTCTCCACCAACAAGAGGGGTGTGAACAGTTTGTGTTATGAACAATGCTGGTGCCCATAGAAATAGACGTGGGGCATGGGATGTTCCCCAATGCTGGAAGGGGGGCCCGAGTGAAAAAGTTTAGAAATCCCTGGTGTAGGCTATAATTAAAGAAATACACTTTTAATAAAATACAAATATATGTTATTGGAATTACTCAAGAGTCTACAAAACTTAAATTGGTTTCTTGTGCTGGGCAACGGGTTTAATACAGAGTGCTGTGACTCCTTACTCCACCATACTTTTTGGGTTGTAGAGAAAATACTTTACTACCTGTCTCATATAAACTGGGGTGAGAAATATTCAGTCGGGTCTCTACTAACCAAATGTGTGTCGTTTGGAGGGGACTGTGTCATACATATCCAGCAGCATTTAGTTCTCCACTCCTTCCACAGCCCCCGATACAATACACTGTAATAGACTGTACATGGGATACATATTTGCTTGTAGAGCGAGAACTTTTCTACCTGTCTCAGCTAAAGTGGGGTGGGAAATACTCAATAGGGTCTCTACTAACCAGGTAAAATCAAATCGTATTTGTCACATGTGCCGAATACAACAGGTGTAGACCTTACAGTGAAATGCTTACTAACGAGCTCTTAACCAACAATGCAGTTTTAAGAAAATTAAGTGTTAAGTAAAAAATTGATTAGTAAAAAATATACAAGGGGTACCGGTACAGAGTCAATGGTTAGTCGAGGTAATTGAGGTAATATGTACATGTAGGTAGAGTTAAAGTGACTATGCATAGATAATAAACAGAGAGTAGCAGTAGCGTAAAAGGGGGGGGGGGGGGGGGGGGGGACAACGCAAATAGTCCAGGTAGCCATTTGATTAGCTGTTCAGGAGTCTTATGGTTTAGTAGTAGAAGCTGTTAAGAAGCCTTTTGGACCTAGACTTGGCGCTCCGGTACCACTTGCCGTGCGGTAGCAGAGAGAACAGTCTATGACTAGGGTGGCTGGAGTCTTTGACACATTTTAGGGCCTTCCTCTGACACCACCTGGTATAGAAGTCCTGGATGGCAGGAAGCTTGGCCCCAGTGATGTACTGGGCCGTATGCACTACCCTCTGTAGTGCCTTGCAGCCGGAGGCTGAGCAGTTGCCATACCAGGCAGTGATGCAACCAGTCAGGATGCTCTCGATGGTGCAGCTGTAGAACTTTCTGAGGATCTGAGGACCCTTACCAAATCTTTTCAGTCTCCTGAAGGGGAATAAGCTTTGTCGTGCCCTCTTCACGACTGTCTTGGTTTGGACCATGACAGTTTGTTGGTGATGTGGACACCAAGGAACATGAAGCTCTCAACCTGCTCCACTACAGCCCCGTCGATGAGAATGGGGGCGTGCTCGGTCCTCTTCTTTTTCCTGTAGTCCACAATCATCTCCTTTGTCTTGATCACGTTGAGGGAGAGGTTGTTATCCTGGCACCACATGGCAGGTCTCTGACCTCCTCCCTTTAGGCTGTCTCATCATTGTCGGTGATCAGGCCTACCACTGTTGTGTCGTCTGCAAACTTAATGATGGTGTTGGAGTCGTGCCTGGCCATGCAGTTATGA